TTTATTTATTTATTTATTTATTTAAGTTTTATACAATTGCATAAGGAGGACTTAATGCTAACAGCATTCTCTGCCAGTCATCCTTTGGGTAGTGCAGAAATGTATGTGGTAGGTGGTAAGCTGCAAAACTGTCATGAGAAATAGTGGTAATTATCCAAATTAATAAAAGGGTATCAAAAGCATACATAAAATACGTAAATATAATCGTATAGATATATAAAATTATATATAATATAAATATCATTATACATATAAATATATTTGTGACTCGTATATGAATTTGTCCTATGTTACAACAAGATGAAAAATTATGAAAGATGTTATGAAACTGCCAGCTTTCCGCTAATGTACTCACGCGCCCTCCGCTTGAAACTCAGACGACTGGTTGCGGTTCTGACATTCGTTGGAAGCGTGTTCCAGAGAGAAATGACTTGAATGAAGAAAGAAGAATGAGTAAAGTTACTGCGATGGACAGGACAGTGCAACAGCCGATTATGCGAGGAGCGTAGATTTTTAGTATGGTTGTCACATACATACTGGAAATGGGAAGTTAAATAGTTAGGAGAATTGGGAGAGTCAAGCAGAGAAAATAAAGTTGTGAGTGCCCTTAGCTCTCTGCGCTGACGAATAGGCAACCATTTCAACAATGATCGCTGTGCAGACACATGGTCGTATTTACGCAAGTTAGAAACGAATCGAATGCAGTTATTTAGAAGACGGTCAAGTTTGTTGAGGAGATCTGCATTCAGGTCATAGTAACACACATCACCATAATCGATGATGGGGAAAATTAAGGTCTGCACAAGCATCGCCTCTATTGTAGTTTCCAAGACAGCGAATCGATATTCCAGTTTTAGCTGGATAAAACGGACACGCTCGAATTTGTGTTTGATGTTTAGAGTGCCTCGTACCAGTCGGTGATCACTTCCGGTGTTGAACCTATTGATCACAGAGACATCTCTAAATATTCGCTTTTTGTCCGTCATAATGAAGTCTATCTCATTTTTAGTCATAGTGTCGGGGCTCCGCCACGTCCACTTCCGTTGAGGCTGCTTCTTAAAGAAGGAGTTCATCAAGAATAGCCCCTCCTTCTCCAGGAAGTTAAAATTTCAACCCGATCGGTTTAAAACTGACATAGGCTCGTAAAAACTTTCACCCCCTATTTTATCCCATTGGGTGGTGGAAATATTCAAAATCCTTGCATAGCGGATGTCCACATCATAACATCTACCTGCATGCCAAATGTCAACCCGATTAGTGTAAAACTGGCAAAGTTTCATACAATCTTTCATCCCATATTTTACCCCATTGGGGTTGGAAATAATCAAAATCCTTTCTTATCGGATGCCTACGTTATAACATCTATCTGCATGCCAAATTTCAATCTGATCGGTTTAAAACTGACAGTCTCATACAACTTTCATCCCCTATTTTACCCCCTTGGGGGTGGAAATTATCAAAATCCTTTTACAGCGGATGCTTACATCATAACTTCTATCTGCACTTCTTTCTATCCGATTGATTAAAAACTGACAAAGTGTCATACAGACCTTCATCCCCCTTTTTACCCCCTTGGGTATGGAAATTATTAAAATCCTTTCTTAGCGAATGCCTACGTCATAACATCTATCTGTATGCCAAATTTTAGCCCAATCTGTCCAGCGGTTTGGGCTGTGCGTTGATAGATCACTATGTCAGTCAGTCAGTCAATCAATACATAGGTCGTAGTTAACTATACTACACTGATAGTAATTTTTGAAGGAAACCTATAAAACAATAATACTTTGCCTGTCCAGAATCCAATCTTACACCCGAGATCTGGTCCAGATCATCTACTCGCCAGTCATGCTTATTGCTAGCAACCACGTATATATAGGTTATCAGAGCAGTGCCTTTAGCCAAACGCATCTTTAGCGCTTGTCTACAGAGAGTAGAAAATTAAATATATGGGGATGACACTGACAAGTGACAAGTCCCATATAATTTGATTTTTAGTCTACATGTAGACAAGCGCTAAATGGCATTTTGATTTAGCTACAGCTGCAGTTGAGTTGATCAGTGTTAAAATTTTGTCACTAAGGATAGTGTACATAAACATCTAATAATCAGGCACCATTCGATGTTAGCCCCTACACAAGCAATATATTCCATAATAATATTTATGTTTGTTGGTGGGTGTGGGTAGGCAACTAAGCACCTTAATCTCAAGACTAAAATAAGTATCAATTTTAGCACATATTTATTAGAGCAAAAATTATAAAATATTACACTTAAAACTTAACGTTGATATGGATGGATTTGGTTGGCAGCTTTGATGTTGGTTTTGATAGCTGAAGGTGCTTTTGGCAAAGATGGAGCTGCTTGACCAAGTTGAGGGGCCGGGCCTCGTGATGGCCCCATTCCTGGAGCTACACCTTGTGGTACTATTGATGGGATCCCTGGACGCAATCCTTTGCCAGTACCCACAGCAGTCACCAAAGCGTGGGTGTCAGATATGCTATGGGTTGGTTGCATACCTAGAAAAAAAAGTTTTATTATGAATAAATATCCATTTCACACCAATCACACAATCAAAAAGGATGTATCAAAATTATGAGGTCTATTTCGATAGTATATGGACCTTTATTTATTTTTTAAGTACTTACCAGCTGATCTCATAGAATCTCCATCCCAATCTTCTCGCCCTTTTGATATTATTTCCCAAACATGGCTTACCACTTTGGTGAATTGAGCAACTTGTTTCTGAAATTAAATAAAGGAATAAAGCATAAAAGATAGTATAATGTTCTGTGTTTTCGTAACCATCCAAACTTGGTAGGGTTACCACGGTCATTCACTTCCCTTTCACTTCACTTAATGACTTTAATCGTATTATCTCATTAATTATTCAATGTACTGAGCTGAAATTTTACTGATATACAACTGAACTAAGCAACTAATTATTGACATAATATTCAATTCATATAACCAATCCAGTGGCCAAATAACACCACGCGCATCAAGACCGTGCTCGCGAAGAACTCAATATCATCTTAACTTGTTAAATACTTACAGGATACTAATGAAGCATTATATACATTTGAAGGCAGTTACAAGCTTTAAAATGACGTTTAAAGTAAGTCTTTAAAGCTCTTATTGAGAGTGCTGGGACCAATTGAAGTGTTTTTCTATTTAATGAAATAACTCTTAAGTTATGTATTATTTTGGTTTTTTTATTTCACAACAAATTTAAACTAATTCCTAAGAAGCCATGTACAGAATATGATAAGAATCCGCTTAACCATTTCAAAGATCTAGCAAAATCAAAAACGTTACCCCAACAAAATCTCGAATAACTTTGCAGCCGATGAAAGAACAAATAGAAAACAAGGCATAACATTTACTTCATCTAGACAACTAATTTTATAGCTAGTAATTATTTAAATTTAAATATTCGCATTAGAAAGAAAAAGGTCTGGCTGGGGTAATGTGAAATAATTAAAAAACTATAAGCGCAACAAATTTAAAAATGTGAACAACAATTACAGGAGCCGCACAACTAATTATCTATAAGATTGAAATGACCATTTAAATATTCGCAGTTTAAATAGCAATTTTGACTCATTCTTACTACTTTTAAACAGACTTAATGTAGATTTTGACGCAATAGTACTAACTGAGTGCTGGCTAGAAAATTCTCCAACACTTCCACGAATCCAGGGCTATAATTCTTTCCATACTACTAATCACGTGAACAAGGCAGGCGGGGTAGTGGTCTATGTTTTGAATATTTGGTCCCCACTGGTCCATGAACCTTTAATTAACAATGCTGACTGTATTGTACTGAGCATTCCTGAGATGATTAATATCATGGGTGTCTACAGATCTCCGTCTTTTAGGAATACTAATAATTTTATTAACTCTTTACAAAGAATCATAACCACACTCCAACTAAAACCTTGCACCATTTTCACAGGCGATATAAATATTAACATTAATAATGCGGCCTCTAATTATGTCGCAACTTATCTCTGTACGCTTGCTGAACTAGGTCTAAAACCAGCTGTAAACCCACCAATGAGAGAGGGTTCTTGCATTGATCACGTCTTCTATCCAGGTGAAGTAGATGTTGAAACTATAATTTGCTCTTCAACCATAACTGATCATAATTTAATTATTACTGGCATATCTGGATCAATTGCAAAACCTGTCCCCCGACCTAGGTATAGACTACGTATTGATTACAACTCTATCTCAGATGAACTTAATAATATTGATTGGTCTTCTTTGAATAGTATTTCCAATGTTAATGAACAAGTTGACATTTTTATTGGTGTTGTAAAGGATATATTAGATAAAAACTCCCAACGTATGCGTCTGTCTAGATCAAGGATCATATTGAAGCCCTGGATGACACAAGGTTTACTAAAGTGTTCTCTAGTAAAAGACAAGCTTCACCAGGAAGCTAAAAAATATCCCTTAAGTGATATAAAAGCTATAGTTTTTGCTAGATATCGGAATTTTTATACCACAATAATACGGAAAGTTAGGAATCAGTATCAATCTAACCTACTAGAAAAACACAAAGACAATCCTCGTGAACTTTGGAATACTATTAATGCCATTACACACCGGAAAGCCACAAAGTCCCAAAACCTTGAACTGATTACCATAAAGGGTTGTCCCAAAGAATCAGTTAATTTATGTAATGACTTTTTTGCTTCGGTAGGTGAATCATTTGCAAATGAAATATTATTAAAATTAGATACCTCACATTTTGAACTTGCACATAAAATAGATACTTGTGATTCTCCCTCCTCATCTTTCTTTTTTGACAGTGACGAGATTGGCAGTATTATTCTTAGTCTAAAATCTAATACTGCACCGGGTCTCGATGGCTTATCAGTACATAAAAGCTATTAGGGATCATATTGCTAATCCCCTTGCTGCTATTATAAATAAAATAATAGTTTAACTACTGGAACAGTCCCAGATACTTGGAAATCAGCAGCTGTTGTCCCGATCCATAAAAGTGGTGAAACTAATAGTCCCAATAACTTTAGACCAATCTCTTTATTGCCAGTCTTCGCAAAAATATTGGAAAGAGTGGCCAATAAACGCTTAGTGAAATATGTAGAATCCAATAATATTTTATCACCAAATCAATTTGGATTCAGGTCAAAACGTTCAACCGAGGATGCAGTTAAGTTACTCACCCATAATATTGTGTATAATTTGGACAACGGTAGGGCTTGCATTGGTGTTTTCCTAGACCTCGCAAAAGCCTTTGACACCGTGTCAATTCCAATCCTACTGCGACGACTGGAAAGCATCGGTGTCAGAGGTATTGCCCTTGATTGGTTCCAGAGTTATCTCACTGGAAGACAGCAATGTTTGAAAATTGATTCCTGTGTTAGTTCCTCCAGAGGACTGTGCTTTGGTACCCCAAAGGACAGTGTTCATGGTCCTACATTATTTTTAATATATTTAAATGATCTTGCGTCGTTCTCATTGCAAAATGCTGAGATTATTTGCTATGCCGATGATACCGCAATCGTGTTCCATGAAGCAGATTGGAGTGAATGTTTCAGAAGTGTGGAATACGGAATGACGAAAGTCTTTGGGTGGCTATCTGATAATTTATTAACGTTAAACACTGCAAAAACGAAATACGTATGTTTTCATAAAACCGCAGTCTCATCCCCGTTGGTCACATCTGATATCAAGATTCATGAGAGTACTTGCAATAAACCACCTAGTGTTAGTTCCTGTAATTGTAACTTCATACAACGAATTCATACCATAAAATATTTAGGAGTCAATATTGACGAAAAACTTACATTCAGTGATCACACAGCAGCTTTATCAGCCAGGGTTAGAAAGATAATATATGTTATGAAACAAATAAGAGACGTAGCAAGCCCAGATCTAGCTAAATATATTTACATCTCTCTTTGCCAATCGATTCTAACTTATTGTATCAGTACTTGGGGGGGTGTAGCTGCGTCACATTTAATCTCATTGGAAAGAGCTCAGCGGTCCGTGATAAAGGTTATGCTAAAGAAGCCCATAAGGTATTCCACAGCACATATTTACAATGAGACGAACTTGCTAAGTATTCGTCGCCTTTACATAAAAGCTGCAGTCTGTCTTACACATAAACAAATATTGAAATCTGAATTTTACAATCAAATGCTGACTAATCGAATATTTAGAATCCCGGTAACCCACAGTCAATACTTCCTTTGCACAAAGATTTTCTAATTTTTTATTTCCTTATTTATACAACAAAATCTGTAAAAATTGTAAATCTAAAGAAGATACGGTGCACGTAATGCAGACAAAAGTTGCAAAGTATTTAAATAATTTAACATACAATGAAGTAGAACAGCTATTAAAACCCACACAGTAAGATGCTGAAAATACTCTTGCGCATAACACGCACACCCTCACTCACCCTCACACACTCACACACTCACACACTCACACACATACCCTTCACACATTAATTGTCTTTTTGTTATATTTTATTTAATTTTTTTTGTATTAGTATTTTGATCGCATTAGTCCTAAGGAAATCGTCTTGTTGATAGCCGCGATACAGGCTTTGCCTAGTGCGACTGTCATTGAAAATTTTTACTGTAAACACTGGAATGCCTAATAAAGCTTTATTATTATTATTATTATTTTCGACAACATCTGGCCTGGGTAACGCACACGCATGGCAATAGGCTCAAACTCTAATGGATGGGACTTATAACATAGTGAAAAGTGGGTGTTACATTGTACACTTGTACAGACACATTACACTGTCAAACACCACGAGGACACCGGTGACTGCAACCTATTGTTCTTTAATAGTGTCTATAACAACGGTACTCAAAGGGTTAACTGGCCAAATGTGCACCTCAGCCTACCCCTTCGAAGATAAAGGCGTGATGTGTGTGTGTGTGTTGGTTTTTGATTATTTTTTAGTAATATATGATTATATATTAGTTCTTATTTTTGATAAGTTTTACCTGTGCAGTATCATAGCTTAGAGTACTGGCTTTATGGTTAAATTGCTGTAGCCTTTGTTCAGCCTGAGGTTCTGGTTTTGTACGCAACAAATCCGGAACAAGATCATGTGTACATGCTGGAACACGGCCTTCAGTTAGTCGAGCCAATGCTTCATCACGTTCACAGCTCAATTGTAAGGGCAACACAATCCGAGATTTCAGTGATGCTGCAAGCTCTACTTGTAATATCTTACTTAATCCAGTCAACTGAAAGTAGTAAGTTTTATTTCATGAATATTATTCTGAAGTAATATAGCAATAATAATTAACGTGTAGAATGATTATTTAGACTACATACATGTCCTGATAAAATTGCATAGTTATCCAGAAATGTAGGCCAGTTTATAGTTTCGTATTCAGTTTCCAGCTTGTTTATAAGTGCCTGAATTGCAGTCTTCAAATCATTGACTCTGATTAATATGGCTTGAATTGTAGTCTCCAGTTGTTTTTCTTCTCTTTGTTGCATGTTCATTTTTATTATTGACACAAATTCCAAGATAAAAAAATTATTAGAATGCTTTGTATATATTCCTCAGACAGATCATCACAAAAAGTTTATCATTTATGTTTGGAAGATCATCAGTCATTCACCGATAATACTTATTATACTCTTTGCCCTATACATAAACACTCTTTGTCATTCACCATTTTCATTACATTACATTTCTTTTTTCTCTTTATAGCAAACGAGTATCCAAAACGATCTTGTCGACTATACTGCCAGTGGTAGAGTGTCGACTGTCGAGTGGTGATGGTGACGGCAGTCGAAATTAACTTTGCGGTAGTTTTTAGTTAGTACCTAGCTGAAAGGACAAAACAGTTGGGTTAGTCAAATAGTCAATATTACCCATAGATTAGATGTATAAAATAGGGGATCTGAAATATGATCACGTGGTTTGAAGCCAAAAGGACCTCAAAAATGGCGAATCTCCGCCCACAATAGTGTTGTACCTACGTCGACATAACATATCGACATAGGCAATTCAATGTAAATATAAAATAATAACTGATCATTTAGTTCAATTCGAAATAAAGAAATTCAAACTCAAAAGCATTTATTTCAATTAAACCATAATTTGGTACTTTTGAAACGTCAACAAATATGAAATAAATAATAGTCCTTCAGTCTGTCCGTCAGTGAAGCTAGGGGCTCGTTCCAAAATGTCGATTCGAGTGGAGAAGAACGAGCAAGAAACTCCATTCGTTACTCTTTTAAAAAAAAGGCTGTTTTACCCTGCTCTGATACATATTCCAATATTGTACACACATACATGTGAGAATAATGTAAAGACATACCTGACGCATCATACAAATAACAGAACGTACTAAAATAAAAAAAAACAAAACCAAGAGAAAACAAATATGTTAAGTCTGACATGGTCCTAACATATGTATACTGACAATCCATATAAAATAGTACTACAAGAAAAAAATAAATAAATTAACTCTTGTTTAAATAAAAAAGAATTCCTCGATGCCACAAGAAAAATTGATTGCCTTCCTCGGAATCAAAGTATTAAATTACCTATTACCGTAATCTGAACTAGGTACTGACTACATTTGAGTATTGTCCAGCGGAGCGGAATCAACACGCTGCCAAGCATTCCTATCCTCAAGATAATCAATCACTCTGTAGTAAGCTTGTTTACACAATTCGCGCTTGATATATGTTTTAAATTTGCTTTCATTAAGTATGCTACTTGGTATTTTATTATAACATTTAACGTATAACCCCATGAAGGATTTCTGTACCCTGGACAGTCTGAATTGCAGTACAGCTAACTTATTCTTGCCTCTAGTATTAAGATTGTTTCAATCGGTTTTTTTTTTCGAACAATTGCCTATTTTTTCTTATATGAAATATATGAAAATATGTTTTCATTTATTTTCATATATTTCATATAATATAAATATATATTTTCATAAATGATATATGAAAATATAATGTTAAGATATTTATCGTTTTAAACAATTGTCTTAGCCATTCGCGTAACAGCGTAAATTATATATTGATCGGATAGCCCGCTTTTGAAGAATAAAAATCGAAAGTGAAAGTAACTAAAAAAGACAAGCCTTGCCGTATCCACGTCCGTGAACTGTCTAATCTGTCTAACTGCAAAAGCAGCTGAGCTTAATCTCCCCGAAAACGCCTTTATATGCGGGCCCCATTGTAGCCTATTGTCTAATGTAATGCCTAAAAATACCGTCTCGTCGACAAATTCTAACTTTTGGCCGTTCGAAACAACATCACAATCATTACTTCGGACGTTTGGTAAACTATATTTAATACATTTGGTTTTTTTCTCATTAAGCGCTAGATTATTAATGGTGAACCAATTTTGCACTCGAAGAATGGAGCTGTTTACGTCATCAAGATTATTAGCACATCGATCTATTTTAAAAATTAATGAAGTATCATCTGCAAAAAGCACCATTCTTGGTTCATTCTTAGATATAAATGGCAAATCATTTATATAGACTAAAAAGAGAAAGGGACCCAATATTGAACCTTGGGGAACGCCCATATTCATCCCGGAGCCCTGCGAGTTAATATCGTTAACATGAACCTTTAATTGCCTTTCTTCTAAATAATACGTTATTAGACAGAGTGCGGTTTTTCTGATCCCGTAGTGATCTAATTTCAGCAAAAGTGTCTCATGGTCAATGCAATCGAACGCTTTTGTGAGGTCACAAAAGACACCAATAGCATCTTGTGCTTTCTCCCAAGCACCAAATATTTCTTTCATTAAAGTGACACCGGCGTCAGTTGTACAACGACCTTTAGTAAAACCGTATTGTTGTTGGTGAAAGATAGAATGTTTATTAAAATGATGAAGCATCCGAGACAGCATTACCTTTTCAAACACTTTGCTGAGAACCGGCAAAACAGATACTGGCCTATACTTGTTTGGTTCTTTAGTGTCACCACTTTTAAATAGTGGGATAACTTTATTATATTTCATTAGGTCAGGAAAAAACACCGTCATCTATACTTTTATTGAAAATCACAGACAAATAAAAGAATTGCTAAAAGAGTACAACTGATGGTAAAGCATTCATATAATCAAAATCTCACTAATATTATAAATATCAATAGCATTGTAACCTTCGTTCAACGATAACTTTACAATATAAGATTCTTAAGCGAATACTGTATTAAAAAACCTGAGAGAATGTTGGCTATAGAATTTTGCTCCAAAATCACATAGACTGAACTTATTTCGTATACGTAATATAAAGTCAGACAACTAAAAATCAAACACAGTTATACCATCGAACTCCGTGCGTTTTCCTGTAATGTGAAATAGTGCGATGGAATAGGGATAGGGGTAGGTCAGAGTGCATTATAATGAACAAATGTCAAGCGTTTTGCTGATTATAATAATATATTCATGGCGAAGCAATATTAATTTTGTAAAAATATTTCTTTTGACACATGTTAGTCATGCTTTTTGCATTTTGTAATATTCATATCTTATATCTAAATATGTAAGAATAACAGTCTATGAGAACTCTCATATTCACTGATAGCGTCATTGAAAATTTGGCCATTTTCAAAAAGAGTAGGAACTACGTTATCTTGAAGTCGAATAATATTTAATGTTCTGTTCTCCTCGCCTATTTTTTCCATCCACAACTCCTTTAGGGTGTGTTTTTTTTTATTTTTAGGATCTAAAATCAAATTTAATCATTATTAAATAAAGTATACGAAAACAAATAAAAATATTGTAGTTGTGCATTTTAGGACGTCGCGCAACTCTCAATCGTGTCCTAAGTAAAAGGCTCTATATCAATATTTTCATTTAATACAGTTAAATATACCGTAAATGTTCGTTAACCAGACGGCTATATCAATATTATTGCTAATACTGCTATCGATAACTTTATAAAACGAAGATCAGCACTATGAATAAAATGTAAACAATTTAAAATGTTTACTAGTTCAATTTATGTTATAACAGTCATATGAAAGTATACATAATAGCCGAATTAGAAGTGATAATAAAGACTTATATCATAATTTACACAAAAAGTATACATAAATAACAAAAATTAGAACTAACCTAAAACATGACAATCTTTCTCATTTTTACGTGAATTTGAATTACATCTCTTGATGCAACCCTTGCTCATGATAGTCCAGTTCAGATTCATTTCACTTATTGGCAAAAAACACCATTAATATCGAATTTTTTCACTGTAACACCGAAAATATTTCCAAAAACCTTTGACAGATGATCTACCAAAAACATGAGCGGAGTGTCTCTCTTAAATGGCGGAATGGGCCTCAAGGCGGAGCTTGGTGACGTCATATGAAAAATGTTATCAGAAATTGAAATTTATGATTTATGCTTATCTCTTTTTACATCAGAAATTTACAACATGTAAGAATGAGACAGATATATTTTTGTTGATGACGTTCATATTTGCATTATATTTGTATAACCAAAATATGCAACTTGCGGCGTATCCCCTATTATTCATCTATGGTACATATTATTATATACAATTAAATTCAATCATTATGAATACGATAAACAACTTATAAATAACATATTTATAATATATACTATTAATATTATAAATACAAATAACCATATAATTAATTTCTATCTTTGCTTTTTATTTGAAGAAAATGTCAACTCTCACAAGTAGTTACGAGGTAGTAAATAGTTACAAAAAACGGGTACAGGGGTCGCGACATATTTCTTCATACTAAAATGGGCATGGTATGTACGCGAATAAGGATAATTAATAACACTTTTTATTATTCTTCATCGCTGGTTCATAGTCCCAAAGACAATTTACTTTAATAGTCTTTTTTGTTTCTGTACTCTGTGCGTTGACATACTCTGTGTCAAGTCACTAATGTCATTTGAAAATTGATTGAATTGAATTGACGTTTTCGTTCAAAGCGAAAAAAAAGTTGCACGCACGCACGCGTTGACCAATGACCATAAATATTGTCCCATGTCGCTAAGCAGTGTGTGATTTCAATTTTTAAAATTTAATATAGAATATTGCACATGAGTCAGCAGAGATTTTTTTTATTTTAAAATAATATGTCTGATAACTATTAAGTGACTTAATATTTTATAATGATATTATACACGATGAAACTACTCTGTCCATTACTTTAGTCGACGGAGACCTGATAGAAGGACACAAGATTATTTTTATACTTTTCACTAAAACTGATTATGGATATTTCAAGTCATAATTTGGATAAAAAGCCTACTCCTTCTGTGCCTACCCCTGATTGGACAACTAATGCTAACAATGAGGTAAGTAAAATTGTACTCGAAAACCGTTTATGTATTTCACATAGCAAAGGAATCACCACGCTTATTATTACACTAGGCATTTATAAAATTTTCTTTTATTGTTTAACAGATGGAAATTGCCTCCGTGGATTCAGCAGCACCAACAACACCAGCACTACCAAATAATGATAATAATTCATCATCAAAAAACATGCAAGATGTGACAGATGAATCTGCTCTGAACAGAGTATCTGTAATTAGCAGCACTACTAACCATTCAAGCAGTATGCATAAAAATCCCAGCCAAACTCCTACTCATAGTGGATCATACTCTTCAGTTATAACTCCTGCAATGTCAACTTCACAGTCCCTTATAGCTGGGGAAGTAGCACTAACTCCTACCCATAGTACCTTTACACCTCAGTCGGTCAATCCTCACAGTGCAATGACTGCTATCACTCCTATGGTTAGTGGAACAGACCAAGCGCGAAGCAGCATTAAAGTACAGTAAGTAGATACTAAATTTCAATATTTTTATTTGGAAATAACAGTCAGTACTGTAAATATTTATAAAAATTATAAATATTTAGAACTCTTGACATTCATTACAGATGACCTTTTTTACAAATATAACAATATGACCTTTTTTACAGATCATATAAACATTATGCTAGTCCCGGAAGACTACATATTATGGTATATTAGTCCAAACTGGACTGGAGGTTATGTTTTAAATTCTATATTGTCTTTTGTTGTTTCAGAAACTGTGTATCAACAATACACTTAGGCTGTGAATTAAAATTATTAGATATTTACTGCAGAACTAGATTCTCTGAATATAATCCAGCAAGGTTTCATGGTGTAGTAATGAAAATCATTGATCCGAGAGCTACAGCACTAGTATTCAGGTATTGATTTTATTCATCTTCTTATTTTGGTGTCCTAAATCAAAATATTTTCAGGTAAACTATCAATCAACTTCCAACACCTAAAATTCATATAACTTTGGTACTATTGAAAGTTTCACCAAGAACATTTCACCACAGCAGTACTAATATTCCTACTTTTTACCCACCTGTTCTCATTATAAGTTTTAATAATAAAATTAAACATTTTCAGGTCTGGTAAAGTATTGTGTACTGGACTAAGGAATGAGCATGATTCCTACATAGCTGCAAGAAAATTTGCAAGAATTATTCAAAAACTGGGTTATCCTGTAAGTTTAAATTGTTAATATTATGATAATGTTTGTGTATTATGTTAAACTGTCAAACACCAAGCGGTCACCGGTGACCGCAACCTATTGTTCTATAATTGTGTCTACAAAACCGGTACTTGACGAGTTAAGAAGTTTTCTTGGTAAAGAGTTTAAAGAAAATGTAATTGAGATTTATTATGTTGCAGGCAAGATTTCTAGACTTCAAAATACAAAATTTTATTGCTACTGCTGACTTAAGGTTTCCAATACGACTAGAGGCACTTCAACAGGCACATGGACAGTTTGCCTCTTATGAGCCTGAATTGTTTCCTGGTCTAGTGTACAGAATGGTTCGACCAAGAGTAGTTTTATTAATATTTGTTAATGGCAAGATAGTGTTTACAGGTATGGATTTTTTAATTATCACTAGACTTATAATGCCATGTAGCTTGTGATGGAGCCAGGAAGTCAGGCTTCTTCGTTCTGTCTTTATTTATTAATTTTTCACCTTTATCGTTTTGATATCCAGTTGAATTAATAAATAAAAAAAGAGAAAAATTATGTAAATCCAATATAAAGAAATCCAGATTGAAGTATCTAACATCAATTAATAATGTCTAATTGGGTACTTATATCCAATGCTTTTCACCAGTTTTGTTACGAATCTCTTGTAATAGGGGGTAATTCTATTGTCTGTTGCTCTAATTTAGTGTTAGTAGATAAATAAAGCTAATGATTTCTTTTTTCATAGGTGGAAAAACAAGAGGTGAAATCAATGAAGCACTTGATATTATATATCCAATTTTAAGAAGTTACAGGATAAGTTAGTTGCTTCTAAGTTTATATCCATACACATCATAAACATACAAGACCAATCATTCTTGGTACCCACTGGTTTTATCTTTACTTTAACTTAGTATGATGCATGTATTAATGTGTATTATTCTTTATTGATGCAGTGAAAATTTTTGAAAATAAGTAATAATTCATGTAAATTGTATTTACACAGATCATTTCTTTTTAATCTGCTCTCCAATCACATTCTGATCTTAATAAAAATGTATTTTTTAATTATTAGGTGTACTTAGGTAATTTATTTTTGATGTCCTAATAAATAATTCTAAGTTGCAAAGCATTTTTTGATCAGTTTTATTTCAATATCACATCCTATTGATACAAAAATAATCACTAGCTAGTTGAAATCTTTAGCGGAAAAATAATTGAAGCGGCTAATGAAATAAGACGCTCATTCAGTTCAAAAGGGACCATCACGGAGATAAGGATGCGTGTGCGAGCATGATTCGTCATAGGGAAGGTCACTGGGCAATATTTAGTAAATAATGATGTTTTTTAAATTGCACATTTTCTTTACACTTTACTTATCATCAAGTTTTGATTTCAGTATTGAGATTTTTATAAATAATTTCATGTTTTTGGGTAGCTAGTAAACAGGGGCGTAGCTAGTGCCGTATCAATTATAGGGGGCCCCCGGACTACAGGGGTCCCCAACGTGCTTGAGCAAAAATTAATAAAAACTTCCCAATTTTTATTATATTTCACCCTGTGTAAACAACTTCAAAAAGGGGAGGTTCTCAGTTTGACCTGTATGTATCTATGAACTTGCTGGATCTTATGGCACACGTTATACCTGCGGTGGATGCTGGACAACAAGTGGACGTAGCCTACTTTGATTTTCGGAAAGTCTTCGATACCGTAGATAATGATATCCTTCTGTCAAAGCTGGCCGGTGTAGGCTGCACACCGCACACACTGAGATTCTTCTCAAATTACTTGAGAGACCGATGTCAGTACGTTGACTGTGGCGGAAGCCTTTTTGAGCCCTACTTTAGTATTTTACTAGGTCAGGGGTAAGCCAGGGAAGTAATTTAGGGCCCCTACTATTCATTTTAACCATAAATGATTTGCCGAGCGTAGGTAGTTAATAATTCCTCGCCGTTATTATTTGCTGACGACCTAAAATTAATTATAAAAATAAAACAAACAGAGAATCATTACATTCTACAACAGGATATAGCTAAAATTGAGAAATGGAGTATAGAAAACCGATTAATTTTCAACGCTGCCAAATGTTCCGTGTTATCGTTTACCCGAGCTCATAACCCAAGTCATCACCAATACCTACCTACTGCATGGCCGGAAGGCCACTGCAGCGGGTCTTTGAGGTCAGGGACTTGGGTGTACGCTTTATTTATTTATTTTACACTTTAATGCACACAAAATAAGGTACATAAGGCGGACTTAATGCCATATGGCATTTTCTCCCAGTCAACCTTTGGGTTAAATGTAAGCTCAGCGAAAATGGGCCTGTGTAATATCCAAAAAAAACAAAATAAATAACTAATAGTAATAATAATAATAAATACTGTATAACATATTGAATATAACATACTGTATAAAAATATATAATAAACACAAAATATGTACATACATAAATAACTTCATATATATAATTATAATATAATATAAATTGACGAAGATATAAATTAAAGAAGACACGAACTCAGCGTTGTAGCGCCTTTAAATAGGCCTCACGAACACTACGTTTAAAAGCCATTTTGTTTGGAGCCATTTTTATACTATGGGGTAGTGCATTCCATAATTTAATTACACTAACTCTAAAGGAGTTAGAAACGAAGGAAGTGTGGTGAGACGGGATCTCTAGAAGCAAACTTTCAGCTGAACGGAGATTTCGGCTGTGAGAGCTGCCCAAAATCTGAAAGCCATATTTTAGGTATTCGGGAGCACAAGGATCATTTAGAATAGAGAAGAGCATGCAGAGGGATCTAAGGAATCGCCTCTCACGGATAAGAAGCCATTTAAGCTGAGCGCGAAAGGAAGAGACATGGTCGTATTTACGAAGTCCGAAGATAAAGCGGATACAATTGTTGAGCATTCGATCCAATTTGTTAAGAAGGTCTTGGGATAGGTCAGAGTAACAAACATCAGCATAATCAATCACAGGAAGCACAAGAGACCGAACAAGCAGCGCTTTTGTATTTGGTGGAAGAAAGTTTTTAAATCTGTAGAGAGATCGCAGCGTGGTAGTGACTCTTTTACTTACCTGAGTGACATGGTGGTTCCAACTGACATGGTGGTTCCAACTGACTTTACGCGGATTTGAATTTTAGGACTCATATTGTGAATATTTGTAAAAAGCTTACCGAAATTTAGGAATGGTATTAGGTTTAAGTAACCAATTTACTAACTTTAATGCATTGAAAGCACTGTATGAAGCCCTTGTAAAAAGTCATTTGGAGTGTAATGCCGTTGTCTGGTCACCGCATGAAGTCAAGTACAAACTGATTAGATTTTAGTACTTAAAAATGTATGGTGTTTATCCGGGTTACCCGCTTTTGTATCCGACTCTCTTCGTATTGGGCATGGTGGGATATTTTAAAATTGAGGTGAGGAGGGAAGTAGCTGTCGCCACTTACTTATTTAAAATGCTTCGCGGCAAAATACATAACCCGAGGGTTTTGGAGCTGATCCAGTTACATGTAGGTACCGGATGCATACGCGGCGCGCCGGCGCAAGCCAGCGCTGCTGGCGATACCATGCGCACGCACCAACCTCCTACAGCGCGCGCCCCTGACGCGGGCGCTGCGGACGCTCAATGTGATGTCGGAATCTGCCTCTTACTGTACCCATCTATGACTTAAGGAATATGTTTGTTACCATAGTTATAAATGTGTACATGTTACCGGCCAAACCCGATTTCAGGACAAACTAGTTTTGCCTAGGCTAAACTAGTTCTTCCTATATGCGTTAGGATTAACTAGTATAGCCTAGTTCAAACTAATTTGTCCTAAGCCCGATAGGTTAAACCAGTTTAAGCTAGGACAAACTAGTTAATCCTAATATAAATACGCATACTCTAGCATTAACTGGTATGGCCTAGTCTAAACATTCTAATATATCTAGAAAGTCGAAATAAATAGATAAATTGAATAAAATAGTACTCCGTAATTGAAAAAAATATCATTATCATTAAACTATAATGATTCGTCGTTAAAACTTATGGTTAATTGGTTATGCGAACAATCATGCTATAACAAATAATAAGTGTGTAATCCTAGTGTGGGGCAACATTTAAAAAAAAAATACCCGTAATTGCACCTACCATTTACTCTTCTCTGCATCACCCAAAGGTCAGACTGGTAGAAAACGCCTGCGGCATTAAATATTTGTAAATTTTGTGCATGAAGCATATTCAATAAATAAAATAACTAATACTTTGCCCGGGAATCGAACCCGAGACCTCTTGCCCGGCAGTCGCACTGCGACCACTCAGCCAACGAGGCAGTCGCATTGTTTTTTTTTTAATAGACGCAATAATCATATTATGACTAGGTCATACCAGTTTATCCTAGAGTGTGCGTATTTATATCAGGATCAACTAGTTTGTCCTAGCCTAAACTGGTTTGTCCTATCGGGCTTAGGACAAACTAGTTTGAACTAGGCTATACTAGTTAATCCTAACGCTTATAGGAAGAACTAGTTTAGCCTAGGCAAAAGTAGTTTGTCCTGAAATCGGGTTTGGCTGGTAACATACATAATGGTAAAATAGACTTTTGCAACGCGGGTTTTAAAAAATAAATACTACGTAGTCTATGATTACTCTATGGTTTTATTATCTGTGGTGGCAACATAACGCAGGTCGCCAATAGGCGAGCGCTCGCGGCCACCCCTTCCCACCACCCGCTACCCCGCGCGCCAGCGCGTGGGGTGCGAGTAGGGAAGAGAGAGAGCCAAACTTTTTAGGGGCTTTTATCACAGATATGTCAGCCCCATCGTACCCTTTACATTACTTGACTATTATATTTTCTTAGCTACTATACTTATTATACTCTTTGGAGACTGGAGAGAGCCCCCGACCACTGACGCGTACGGACGTATTGTAAAATCCTCCGCGGCTCTAAGTCGCGACGCCATCTTTTTTCTTTCTAGAAGTTTCTTGTGTTGATTAAAGTCTGTATACGCATCTTATTTATCAATCAGTGTTTTTAATAATCAATAAATGTTAAATCATAACGTTTGCCTATTAAACTTTGTAATTTATTAATATTCATCATCATCATTAACAGCCTATAAATGCCCACTGCTGAGCAAAGCCTCTTCTCACACGGAGAAGGTTAGAGCATTAATCACCACGCTTGCTCAATGCGGGTTGGCGATTTCAAACTTATAATTAGAAATTATAAGTTCAGGTTTCCTCACGATGTTTTTCCTTCACCGTTTGTCAGTCAGTGGTGTCTAAATAATCATAGAAAGTACATATAACTCGGAAAAAGTCACATTGGTACTTGGTTGGTTTCGAACCCGCACCCTCATGTATGAGAAGTGGGCGTCTTAAACCTCCGGGCCACCACGACATATTAATATTGGCATACACTATTGCATTAGGTATTAGTTCCTGTTAAGACAGTAGTATGTACATAGCTTAAAAAAAAAGTCTATTTGTCTGTATGTATGTATCTGTTTGTGCGCGATTATTTCGCAATTGGCGGTATCGATTTTGTTGCAGTTTTCAGAAAAGTATTTGTTACATTTAGGAGAAGCTTTTGTTAGATCAATCAACCGACATAAAATAAAGTCGGGTTTTCTTATAAAAGTTTTAAATTTTAAATAAGGTTATTTTCTTTATTCCTCAGTAGAAGTTATGTTATCAGCCCCCACGCCCCCCACAATGGGTGAACCCACAGAACATATAAAGGAGGATAGAACGGCCTTGTGGGCGGTACACGCGTGCCGCGGTTATGAGCAAATGCTCCAAATCTACCAAAATGTCAAAAACCGGCCATCAAACGCAATGTTGTTGTGACAGCGTACGTAACTCCGCTAAAAATATTAAATTATGCCGTCTTGGACTATTGTAATGTGTCGGAAAAGAAGACAGGTGTGCAATGTAGCACGAGAAGGGATTTCTTTCCACCAGTGACTTCAAAAACATTAATATACTTGTGATATTTGTAATTATAACATTAATATTATGACGTTTCTAGACAAAAACGACATTATCGCAAGCAGTATACATTGCTTGCAATAGATACGTACCGTTTTGCACTACATAAACGATCGCGCAATGTATTACGTTCACAACGAGAGTCCCGAGTATCAAATCAAAACGTCATTTCCTCGAATCGATATAGAGAAGTGTCAATTTGTAAACAATGTCGATAATTACTATGATACAAAGGATTATTATCAAATTATACACATTATAACTAAAATAATTTTATTTATTACGACTAATTATGAAATAGGTTTTAAGTGAGGCATTTTATTCGTATTTCAGTTTTATATA